TATTGATATATATATTACCTAGACTCCAAGCTTTCCATATTAATTGGGGGCTAACACAGTACAGTACTCTACTACTGCTATGAATGTTGTAATAAATCAATAAGAAGCCAGTGATACATCTCCAGACTCCCAGGGCTACTGGTCCCCAGATCAGGTTCATAGTCTGTTATGAATTCAGATACAACCTTGCTTTTCCCACACCTCTATATTGAGGGAAACGTACCTCATTCTGCAGAGTAGATATGTGGAACCCAAGTTACATCTGTCTTCATAGTCTTTATTCTTTTTGCAGTGCTTCAAACAAATCTGACTTGTCGTTTTCGTACTGTGTGATTTTTGTTCTTCTTTGTTACCTTCTTCTTCGTTGTGTGGTCTCTCTGTAAAAGGCTCAACATCAGCAAAGTCTCCAGTGTCGGTCAGAGTCTTGCGTGATGCCAACCAGTGGTTGACTCAACAGGAAGTGTGCTTATTTCCTTCACATAACGATTGATTGACAGAACACAAAAAAGGGAGCTATAAAAATAGCACCTAAAATTTGATCTTTCCTATGTCCAAGTCATAATAATAAAAAAGACAGACTAATTTAAAGTTTAATGCCAGGAAAACAGCGAAATACAATGTTGAAATACATATATGTAAGCATATATGTATATGTTTGCATATATGTAAGCATATATGTAAATGCTTGGGCAGGTAAACATATATCTATATGTTTACCTGCCCAAGCATTTGTAATTTCATCCAACTAGATTTTATACAGTCTTGCAAGATAGCAAGTCAAATTGGTGACCTGATTTTGTATTTTTTTTTACTGCAGTTAAAGCAGATCTTGCACGAAAAAAGCAAGGTCTGCTTTTTTACTAAGCCCCCCAACTGAAAAAGCTACATTAAATAGAAATTAAACTTTGGTGTGAAAACAACTTATAAATATACTTACCTCTGACCTGTGATGCTTAGGCAAGGTTTACATCATCATGCTTTCCACAAGATTCCAGGGGAGGCTAAGTAACCCTAATATTGCAGAATGTGCTCCATTACACTGCAGAAGCATTTTCTTTAAGGGTTTGAACGACTTAGGGGTCTATTCACGAAGCTGCCGAAGGATCTAGACGTAGCTTCGGCCGATCCTTCGGCTAGCTTCGGCCCCACGGCCCCTTCGGTTCAGTAGAACCGAGGGGGTGCTGTACGGGCTATTCACAATAGCCCGTACAGCTAACCGAATGTGGCCGAGCGGCTCAGTCGAGCGCTGAGCCGCGCTGAAAGCCGAAGCCTGACAGCCTGCTTCTGACAGCTGGGCGAAGCCAGGTGTGATCTTATGGCTGGCTCCGGTCACTTGCAGAGAGATTAGCGTCCCTGGTTACCTGCTAACCAGGGACACTGATCTCCAAACAGCAAACTCTCCCTGGCGCCCCGGGAGTCTCCTGCTCCCGGCCGCCCAGGAGAGAAACACTGCTGTTTCTTTTTTGTTTTTTTTATTCTGACACGGAGCGATGTCAGAATAGAAAAAAAAAAAATTCCCATTGGAATGCATTGCTAGATTCCTATTGGCTATTTCAATTTGCAATAGCCAATAGTAAACTGGCATTGTACCCGCCCTCTGCTGCAGTTCTCCATCAGCAGAGGTACAATGCTAGTTTACTATTGGCTATTGCAAATT